ACTGTGAACATATGATCGTGACGAGTGTACCAACACAACAAAAAAAAATTTTTTAAATTAGAGTGTACAGAGCGCGCGAAATTCAAAAAGTCACCTTATTTTTTGATCACACCTCGTATGTAGACTCTGGAGATTTATAATAGGTTCTAATCTAATGAGTTGAGAGCTCCTACGTTGAACCTGTTGGCAGTTATCGGAAAATTTCCTATTTTTAGGTTCAAAAGAAGTTTTCTAAATAGAAACTGTAGAAGATTAAGTAATATTAAAATACTATTTGATTATTCAAGTATCAAAACAGGTTTATAAGGTTTAATTGAAGTTGGAAGAGATTCAAAGTAGGACTAAAATTTCGACTCGCGTCACGACCGTGGAAAAGCAATACAAAGACACTTCACGTTTCCATGTACAAATTAATCAACGTAACAAATTAATGTCAAGTAATGAAACAGGAGTTTGTTTTTCTTTTAAAGCTAGTATCTGAAGAACTGTAACACTTTCTCTGATTTACTCGCGCACTTGATTGCTACCCAAGTCGATACCACAAGAATGATTTACGAAGAACGATTTACGAACTATTCTATTGGTTTATTATAATTAATTAGTACCGATTAATTATTCAACTCGAAATCACTAGGAATAAGAAACGCGATACATACACAACTCGACGTGGTCCGACGCGAAAACTGAATTCGATGACAACAATCGAGCAGCTTAGGTTTTACGGAACGGACAGAATTTAGAGTAACATGATAGAAATCTGATTTCTGATCTGAGATCTGATCCGAGGGCAATGCAATAAGTTTTTAGAAAAACATAGTAAAACACATTTTTTTTGATCGATTCATTTTAATTTCTCAACATAGTCCCTTTTCAGCTCGATACACTTGATCCAACGATTCTCCAACTTTTTCAAGCAGTCCGAATAATATTTGTCCAATCCTTCAAAATAAGCCTCCGTTTCGACGATGAGCTGCTCTCTGGTGGTGAATCTCTTTCCTCCGAACCATTTCTTCAGGTTTGGAAGCAGGAAATAGTCGCAGGGGGCTAAATCTGGCGAATATGCTGGATGGGGAAGCAATTCGTAACGGAATTCGTTGAATTTAGCCATCGGTGCCGGGCACGTGTGAACCCGTGCATTGTCTTGATGGAAGAGCACTTTCTTCTTCGCCAAATGGGGACGTTTTTTCTTTAAAATGTTGTTGAAACGGTTCAATAAGGCTGCGTAGTAATCACCATTGATCGTTTGTTTCGATGGAAGGTTATCGATATGAATTATACCGCGTGCATCCCAAAAAACTGTGGCCATCACCTTTCCGGCCGACTTCACGGTCTTCGCCTTCTTCGGAACTGGTTCACCCGGTGAAGTCCGTTGTTTTGACTGTTCCTTCGTCTCGAGTGTGAAGTAATGAATCCATATTTCCTCCACAGTAATGAATCGACGCAGAAATTCATCTGGATTACGTTAAAACATCTCCAAACGTTGTTTTGAAATCATCACGCGCTTATGGTCCACAGTGAGCAAACGCGGCACCCATCTTGCCGATAGCTTTTTCATATCCAATTGTTCGTGCAAAATTGAAATCACTGTGCCATGTGACATGCCTGTGGCCTCAACAAGCTCGCGCACTTTCACTCGTCGATCAGTCACAACAAAATCGTGGACTTTATCCATGATTTCTGGTGTAGCAGCATCAATTAAACATCCCGAACGAGATGCATCACATGTGGATGTACGGCCACGTTTAAATTCATTCACCCAATTGTATACAGTCGCAAACGCTGGTGCAGATGTGCTATGAACATTTTTTTATCCAACTGGATAATGATCCAATTCGGCTTTGATTTCTTTCGGTATTAAACCTTCCATACGTAGATGTTTGATCACTGCACGAAGCTCGTTTTTTTCCATTTTGCAAAAAATACAAAGGTTGTTCGCTTTAATCGTCTACAGAAATGAAACCACGCGATGAATTCCGCTCAAAATTTGACAGTAATCAGCTGAAAGATGCTACTTGTCAAAAAGTAATGTGACATGACACTGCGAGTGCCCTTTGACAGATTTTCTACGAACTTATTGACTTGCCCTCGTAATAACTCTATGGCCGGAATCCACAATCCGGTCACTAATCTCAAGCAATGTCTTAAGATGCTAATACGGCTCTCTGATTGGTTCATGCACTAGCGTAAGACCATCTCGAATCTTGAGCACCATCTATGGATTCCGCCCTATGTCCTTAGATGGCTGAACGCGTGCCCCTTGTGGTCGCTCGCGTCAGACGGTGAGTGCGCCGCCCCTGCTTACCTTCTGTACGCGACTTGTGATTCGGTAACTTTATCCTTTAATAACTTAAAAAGTAAGCGTTGGATAAAATTTTCGTAGAGGAAAAATCGTCTCAGAATTCAGTCAGGAACACGTCTTTGCAAGGACATGGGGTTATTCTGAATCGCCCTGTATATGACTCATATGTAGTGCACATCGCTATTCGGCAGAGGACACGTTGATGGCCTCTATATCTTTGAAACTAGCCATAGAATCAAGTTGTGCCCATTGAGACATTTATTCAGAATGACTTGAGAACTACAACATATCAAAAATTTAATTCGACCGAAAACACTTTTCCATATGTTTTGTGCCAGGTCATTTACTTTAGAAATATATAATAAAATACCACAGATAATCAATATATTTGTATAAATTTTACTAAAGTGACAAGAAAAGATCGTTTAATAAGATAAATGTACTTGTGGTAATAAAAAACAGAATTTTATCATTGCTTACTTTACGCGAATGTATCAAAGAAACTGTAGCTCATTTGCGGACACCACATAGAAACATTAAATAATTTTTAGCAACTTTCAAGTAAAAGTAATATGACAACTGATAACAGTATACAGGGACGGATGGGACGGTCGGGAAGTTGGGAAAAATCCCGAAGGGCCGGTCGGATTCGGGCCGGTCCAGATCAGCCCAAGATGGAATAGCGCGAATGCTAATGCCAAAATCGTCGTAGCCGCCCCGAACCCAAACGCTACTGTCCGCACACCGGCACATCCCACTGTCCACATTACGATTTATTTTTAATAAACATTAATAGTACCTATAAATAAAGTTTATTAAAAATTTCGCATTGTTTTCTTTTTCGAGGTCCCATACTTATGAAAAACTAGAGAGCCTATATTAAGAGAATCGCCAATTCACCACGTGATCTGAATCTTGCTCTGATTGGCTCGAAAAGGTTAAAACGACAATGACAAGAAGATAAAAGCCGCAACTTGTGTCACTATCATTCTAACCTTTTCTGAGCGCCATTCGCCTCAATTATAGGTTGTTATAGGCTCTCTAAAGAAAACGCATAAACGTGTGGCCACAGAGTATGAAAATGTGACCGCAGCGCATGCTCGCATCGTAGTGTTACGTGACTGTGGCAGATTTCCTAACTTGAATAGTCGTGAACAGTCTGGTATCACACATTGCAATCGTCCCGCTCAACCAACTTCGATCACTGATCTAGCTCCACTTGCCAGTCGACACACTCGACACTCTCGCTTTCTATTTTATCGACCTTTGTTAACACGCGTCAAACTGTTTCAATAGTATAGACAAAAATAAAGAAAGCTCTAAAACCAAAGCCAAAGGCGGTGCTGAGAAAGAAAGGGAAAGAAAAAAGCGAAGAATGATGGATGAAATAAAATCATATAAAACATTAACAAATATGTTTTCTAAAGCTCCAATATCTGAAAATGAGAAAAACGATTTTCCTTCGATCTGTAATGCCTTAGAATCCTTAGATACTGCTAAAGTTGAAAAAAGCAAAGAAGCTAACGAGGAAATAGAACCTACTGGTGTTAATGATTCTTTCGAAGAAGTAAGTTCTGATAGCGAAAAAGGAAAAGAGGTTTCGGAGGAAGTAGAAAAAACTCTACATGAGCCAGATTTAGATGACTACAACTTTTTTAAAAGACAAGATTCTATGGAACTGAATATGTTTTTTAATCACCATCCTATAGTTCCAAAAAGCCAAAAAGGATTGCCTTTCAAAATTGATAAAGCATTCAAACAAGAAAATGAAAGTAATAGGATATGGTTAACTTACAGTTTCTCAAAAAAAGCTTTATTCTGTTCGGTGTGTTTGGCATTTGAGAACAGAGAAACAAGCAGCTTTAATTCCGAATGTGGCATGAAGGATTGGAAACATGTGTATCAGAGAATCTATGAACATGAACAAACAACGGTACACGGAAATAATTGTGATTTATATTTTATGCATTTTAAAAATAGGACCATAGATAAGTTATTATTTAATCAGTATGCCCATAAGCGTAATCAACAAGTTACGAACAATCAACAAATATTAGATATTATTATTAACGTCATCAAATTCATTGATAAGACGGGTCTTTCTTACAGAGGAAATTTAAATGAGGCTGCATATTCGTTAGAAAATGAAAATATAGACCATGGAAATTTCCTAGAAATTCTTGTTGTTATCTAAATATGATACGATTTAAAAAAAACATATGGATATAATCATCGAATGCAGCAAAAAAGCACATGAAAAAAGGAACACACAACGAACTGGCAATTTTTTAACATTTCTATCAAAAACAACATTAAATTCAATAATTTCTATTATAACGAAAATGATGAAAAGAAAAATGTCAGCGGAAATATTAGAAGCCAGAATGTTCTCCATTGAAATAGATTCTACGCAAGATATTTCCACAAGAAAGCAATGTTCGATTGTGATAAGGTAATGCAGTGAAATATATTATATATATATTATTTAAAATGTGTTATATATTACTATAATATTCAAATTTCACTTATTTAAAAATTATGAAAAAATTTTCGGCGCGCGATTTAGGAGACTACATACGTAGTATATAAATTCATAATTATAACAGAACAACTAAAATCCTGCTTGACCGTTAAAGGCTATTTCTATTGATTGTGTTCTCATATGTACGGTCCTATAAGATTTAATATTTGTTCCCCCCCACTTATTTAATTTATTGCAGGTATGTGTATATGGGAAATATTATCGAACGATTATTTTCTGTGGTTCAATGTGTCGACACAACTGGAAAAGGTTTTGAAACTACCATATTAAACGTACTACAAAGCAATGGTTTAAGTGTCCAAAATTGTATTGCAAATTCAACAGACGGTGCGGCCAATATGCAAGGCGAATACAACGGCTTTTCTACGAAAATACAAAGGACCACGCACAAAATGGCTGGGAAATGGCTCCCAGTCGATTTGGCTCAGATCATGTGCTGTGACGTTGCAGTTTCGCTGCAGCTTCGCAGCGACCCTTTGCCGTCACAAAGCGCGGATTCGCGCCTGACCCGAGCCGGGACGCGCGAGCGAGCGAAATCTCCAGGGAGCCGTAAATTAGCGTTAAGTTACTTTTTTTCTAATCCCCGGCGAATTTATTCCATGTCTAACCCTCATGAAAACCTCATCGAGCGAAGAAACCACCGGAGAGAAAACAACCACGGAAGAATCCTGCGGGCCGGAGACGGGCGGAGAGGAGCCGGCAAGCGCTCCCAGCCAATGGAAGGACGCAGCGGCCACCCCCGCCAGAGGATTTAGCGGCGCCCGAGCCCCAGGATGGTGCGAGGGGCATACGACGAGCAGGAAAGGATCCCGAGGATCCCAGCGAGCCAAATCACGTCCGGCGAGCCGCAGGAGCTAACGTGGGGGCAGTGCGTGGCCCACGACATCGGCGCGGCCGACCGAGAACGACCAGCAAGGGAGGCCCGCCCGTGAAGGTTTTCGGGGCCGCAAGGCGCCCCGTGGCGAGTCGCCGCACACGTCCTTGCGCGCGAAGGACCGCTAGCCCGCTAATTGGTCGCAGCAACGCGCGACGCGGCTGCGCAACCCCGTAGGGGGGGAGCTCGCGGATTGATCGCGCATCGATCGCGATCCTGCTCGTCCTCTTCCGCTTCGAGCTCCCAAGTCAATCAGACGTCCTGGCCCGGTGAGATTTTGGAGGACGAGCGAGAGGCCCCGAGCCAAAGAATCGTCGCGGGATCCAGCCATCGGTGAGGTTGCTCCTTGGGCGGATACCGGGTCTTGTAAAGTCTCATGCAACGGGGCAGAGGGTCGTTCTCGCGTTCTGTCGTCGGCACGCGAATTTCGTGTTGGTGCGGTGGCCGCCATAAGCGGCGCCTTCTTTGTGTTACGGGTACGGCGTGGCCGGCGCCAAGCGTGAGGGCCCGCGTGCACGGGGCTGTCGGGGATAACGTCGAGTCGCGAGAACGAGCCTCCTGGAGATCGCGGCCT